GCTTGTACAGCTGACTCCTCTTCTTCCTTCAGGTTTCACACAAATGCAAAGTTTTCATAGGAACCTTGTCTGCTTGTCCGACTCTTTGAACTAAATCGTACACTGTTGAGGTTTTTAAGTCCTTCTCGGTACTACCGCTTTTTGACCTAGGATGGATGGGTTTACATCCCAAAAACCCATCATAAGATGAAAATATCACAAGTTGAATGCATTTACTATATCTAGCCTACAAGCATTCTGGCTGAGCCCAGACCACCTTAAATGTGTTCAGAGCACATAACACTAACCTACAGTTGGACAAAGTCATCTATGGCAAATCCTATTTTATAATGAAATTTTGAGTGTATTGAGAAAGTATCATACCTCACACCACTAGCCCAGGAAAAAAGAACTCAAAGTGCATTTTCTACCGAATGCATATGACTTTTGCACCATTATAAAGTCAAAACCCATCGTAAGTCAGGGGCCATCTGTACTTGTAACACTTTTGTTGTATTTGTTTGTTCACAGGTCCATTCCCCCTTCTAGGAATGTATTCATTCCCCACCCTTCCCATCCTCTGCTCCGTGGACTCTGATCCTTGAAAACTACCTTTCCCAGGTTCCTTGCTGAGTCCCTGCTAGTTTCAGCCAGTAGGAGGCGCTGGTGGGACCGCGGTGGGCAAGGCTGCAGATGAGCCAGGGCATTTCTTCCCCCACCCCCTCTGTTTCCTGTAGCATCTCCAGCAAGGCCTGTGTCTCCTCCATGCTCTCAGCAACATCTGGTGTGCCACCCTCTTGTGCTTTTGTCCCTTCAGTCCCATGGGATGAGAGGCTTCCTGGCTCTGCAAATCTCTTTGTGACCCTTTCCGTGTTTTATTGTTGTCGTATTTTCTATTAAGCTCCCTCTTTTGAAATAGTGGACACGGATTCTATTTTCCTGGCCAGGACTCTATGTTCCAATGCCATGACCATGCCTCCTGGTGTAGAGTAGGTGTTCAATAAATATTCATGGAGAGAAGGAAGGGAGGGGAGGGAAAGGAAATTGCTGGACATGAGCCTGGTCACATAATTGGGTCAACGTGGGGTAAGTCTTAGGGTGACTTTGGGTACCTCCAAATCAGAGCTCCTGAGAGAAGAACCAATTCCCAATGGAAAGAGTGATTGGATGTGATGTAGGTGGTGGTCCCTGCATGCACTGGAACCAAGCTGTGTGGAGCTCTGGTGACGAGGGTCAGAGCCCTGTGTGCAGGCCGGGGCAGGCTGGAGGGGAACCGACAGGGCACTCATGCCAGCTCAAGACAGACTCTCTCGTTGCAGCCGTGAGCCCTGCCCTGATGCCCTTCACCCTCAACTTCATCATCACAAACCTGCAGTACGTGTCCGACATGAGGCATCCAGGATCCGACAAGTTCAACACAACCGAGGCCATCCTGCAGCGCATAGTAAGAGCCGAGGGCCAGCCGCCTGCCCCCACCTTGCAGGGCCCTTGCCCTCTTACTCACCTCCCTCTTCTTCCCCCGCAGCTTGGCCCTGTGTTCAAGAACACCAGTATTGGCCCCCTCTACACTGGCTGCAGACTGACTTCACTCAGGTGAGATACCCAGCGGTGGCTGCTCACACCCACTGGCCTCCCGGATTCAGTCCCTGACTGCACCTTGTTCCCCACCTGCCCAGGGTGGCAGCTCTCGGCTGAGCCCTCTCCCCAGTCTTTGTTCATCAGTTTTCTATTCTGGCTTTT